TGGAGAGAAACAAAACTCATTTTTAACAGACAGAAACCTCGAACAGGTTCAGACTCAATGTGAGTGGAACTCTGACTCGACCGGTTGCGGTGAGCAGAGAAAAACTCAGTGGCTCTTCGTTGAGGACGAGCAGATTCATTTCTATCAAACGTCCTTTTATTTCTCCTAAGAGTTTGTTAATGATCTGTCAAACCAGACAAGCTTCGTCTTGTGGAACACGTGGTGTCTAAGTAGCCAGTGTTGATATCAGATCAGCTGACTTGATAACCAGTAAGAGCCACAGATCAACATTCTTGCAGCATCAGGCCACACAGACACAAAATAATCCTGCCTGTAGGCCTACTTCTGAGACATGGAGGACGTGTGGACAGTTCCAAATGCAGATTCACTGAAAAAGATGACTCATGGGGTTTTTTCTTTAGTTTGCCTTTTGGTTTCCAGAACGCTGGATGGTATTTGAGATGTTTATTTACTTTGAGTTATTCCAATTTAATGTATTTTTGGTTTGAGAGTTCTCATTTCCTGTCATGTTGGAAGAGAACAAGATCTCTTTCAATATGCTCCTCTGACAGTATTTGTGTATTTATGTGTGAGATTCTCAACTTGTGGTTAAGTCAATAGGAGAAGGGGTGTTTGCTGTGGCACAATGCCCAGACAAGCCGGGGATCGCAAACGCTGGCGTGCATGAATCTCGGTGTGAATCTTGTGCATCACCCCCTTCTACAGGTAGCATGTGCATGCAAAAAGTAGAAGCTGATGTCACTGTTAGACACATGCAAGCTCCACTACATAAATAAATTTGCTCTGGTGCTCAGATCTCAGCAGCAGTGGATAATATAGACTGTCTGCTCTCGCATCCAAACCTCCCAGGAAACACTGCTCGAACAGTGTCCAGCTCTGATTTGACTGCCAAGAGGAGGGGGGGCAGGTCAGCATTCCAGGACGGCCCAGTCACACACACAAACACACACACACACACAAGCAGAGACACACAAAGCCACAAATGAGGACAAGACTTTTCATGTCAACAACCAAACTCAAAAACAAACAGATTTGCGCTATTGTGGGAAATGTCAGTGATCACATCAGTGCATTCACTTCCCAACGTCTATTGCAAAACTTAACCCTTTTGCAAACATGCGGAAAACACACACAGAGACGTTTAAGGACACACAGACACATTCACACAGGTATCCCTTACCATAGGTGCAGGTTTATTTGAACTGTGGGAGACCAACTGTCCCAATTTATTCCCTCCAGTCATGACCAGTAATATATTATGATACAGTATATAAGATCAAAACTGACACTTAATAAAGTCAAACACAAAAGTTTAATGAAGTGTTAGAGCTGGTCAGATGAACCCAGTTCCACAGCGCAGGTGATGATTTTATTAACCTTATAAGTCGAAACCACATTAACCAAGAAACGGCAAAGTGCCTCATAACGCTCCCTCAACACTCCAGTCTGAGGACATGAGAGCAAAAGAAACCGCAGGAATATTTTTTGTTTTCTTTAGCTCTTTTTTTCCGCTTTTCATTGCAGGGTCAGTATCACCATCTTCAGCATTTCACAGCACAGGCTTCAAATAGAAACTGGCAGTTTTGGAGAGAAGCGGAAACCAAGGATATTTTGCTGAAATAAATATTTCATGAAGACAGAGATGTGTAAAAGGGTGTGTGTGTGTGTGTGTGTGTGTGTGTGTGAGTGTGTGTGTGTGTGTGTGTGTGGTGCTGTGGGTCATTATGATAATTTAAGGCTGTTTCAAAGTTATTATTTTCTGCTGAAGTGCAGATTCACACCAGGCTGAGATGTAATATGAAGGCATCTTCTTTCATTATATCCTCAATATGAACAGGAATGCATGTGTTCGGCCATGAAGGAAGTTAGAATGAAACAAACCAGTTATTTTATTAAATCCCCCAACAATCAGTCATAAAAACCAGGCCCCAATATCTTTCCTGTCTCAGTCAACACTCAACCAAAGAAACATTTCTGTGTCAGTCTGAAACCAAACAAAACCATCTGGGACAAACCGTCATACACTTACATGTGCTATAACTGTACCACAGACCCCAGCTGCTCATACCACTGACCTGCGTATAAAAGACTCCTTTCCTTCAGTATATTGGTTCAACACTTCACTGTGGAATATCAGTTTTCATCAGCTGATGACAGGATACCTTGAAAATGAAAGATTACATTCATTTTGCCTTCAGCCACATAGAGATTACTGCCAGAAAAGCAAACATGCTAACGTAACCATGATAACGTACTGAATGTTAGCACACTACCATGCCAGGCAAACAAACTGCTCACACATTAACACCCAGCTCAACAAGCACGGCAACACTTTGATACATACATATGTTTTGTGTGTGTGCGTGTGTCCACATATTTATATGTGTGTGTAGAGATATAAATGTGCTTATGTGTGTTTCCGTGAGTGGTGATGTATGCACATACACATATAAACTGTATGCATGTGTGTGTATATATATATATATACATATATATACGTGATCCAGGAACAACAGTCTCTGGATCACGTATGACTTAAAGTATGACACGTGTTTACATGACAGCGGCCTCTTGTAGCTGTGTGATTTTCAGCCATATGTTTTCTGTTGTGTGTGAGTGTCACAGTCTCACATTCCAGCGTGAACATTCAGTCTCATTGTCTTCAGTCCCATGTCCAACACATTGTGCACATACAAGAGACGCTGATAATGTGTTATAGCCCAGCCACTGAATAGTTCCTGTAGAGGCTCAGGTTTCTGTACTAGATTAGATTAGATTAGATTAGATTTCCTTTATTGTCCCTCAGTGGGGAAATTCACATGTTACAGCAGTAGCACAAGATTTAACTCCAAATTTTTACTACGTGTGTGTAAGTGTGGCTGAAAGCCTTGAGGAGAAACTACACTGAGGAATACACACACTCACATGCACAAACACACTGATTCACATGCACACAAAAACTTGTGAATGTGAATACAAATGCTTACACCCCAAAGGAATCTGTGCCAGTGTGTGATTAGATATGCATCTTTTGAAGCAATCTGGAGCAAGCAGCGGGATCCTGGCAAATAATATTAGTTCTGCATAATTCTCATTTTGTTACAGCTCTTCCATCTTATTTCTGGATTCCGTTTCCATTCATGAGAGCTGGCTGCCGCTGTGTCTTTGTGAATACATTTGTGTGTATTTGCATGCCTGTGTGTGAATCTGAGTGTCTCTGCCAGAATCCAAGCATACCTCGGGGAATGTGTATTGTAGTGACAGAGAAAGTGACTAATTTCAGCACGTCATCAGTCATTTTGTTAAAAAGAGAAAATACAGGATTTATTTTTTTCCCAGACACTATCTTTCATCCGTGTCTTCTTTATCAAACCAAAAACATTTCCCCGTCCTTGAGTTTGTCAAGAGCACAGGAAGCTTTTACCGGCCACATTTTTAGCCATACTTTAAAATTCTAAGTCAACCTTGTAAAAAATTTAAACCCAGTAAAATCATGATCCACTCGTGATTTCGGAAGAATTTGCTATTCTGGAGAAAAAAAAGGGGCAATATAGCAACTCCAAGTGGCATCTAATAAATATTTCATATGGTGCATTAAACATATGGACTACAGTATGAGTCACCACAGTGTGACCTCTTGTTTTTTCTAGCCCATCTGCTTTTAAAGAACAGTGTTGTCTACGGTAAACACACAGTATGACTATTCAGCATTCACTTAATATGAAATCAGGCTTTCATTTTAATACACTACAGCCTCTCTGCATGCTGGCTGTGACAAGTGGTTCATGCTTAACAATAAATTCAATAAAATATTTCCCTGAGGACTCACTGTCTGTCAACTTAATTACGTTCTCATATATTTTATATCCCCTGGATAGCTGTACAGCTCCTCTGAATTCAGAAGAAGTGATTATGGCATTAATAAAGCACTTTTACTAATGAGATCTCACACAGTGCAGATTTATTTTGCAGGATTGATTGTTTCTTATTATTGACATTTGTCCCAGTGCTTCCAAACACAAGATGACTATGTCTCACTCAGTGTTTTTTCAGTTAAGGTCCTCATGGTCTCTCATGTTTGAGTCAGTTAATCGAAATATAAAATAATGCATACATTTTGTCCATGGAGCAAAGACATGTTTGGGGCTCGTAAGTTTGAGCAAGATTCTGAATGCATTATCTGCCAGCTGAAGCTTTGTCAGCTTTGCATGACTATAGCTGCACCACAAGTGTGCTGTGTACACAGCAGGCTCTGAAATGTGCTATATTAACACGTATGCGTAGAAACCGTGCACGCCAACATGTTCGCTTGTTCAGCGGTTCACGCTGCACGTCATCCTTGCGAGTGAAGAAGTAATAGTTGTTGCTCGTCTGGACTGGAGTGGAAGCAAGTGGAAACGGAAACGAGCCACTTTGTGTGAATTATTGATCGTCAATGAAACTTTTAAAAGCTGCAGACTTTAACAGTAAAAATCGCTCGTTTGAAGTGAATGATTTGATCTTTCAGCTGTTTCAGTTACAACATCAGCACCAATCAAAATGAATGATGTGGCAGACAGCAGCCAACAAGTATTAACACACTGTATTACATTTTCTTAATCATTATCATCATAGTTATTATTTCAATTATCTACTTTGTTATAATTGTTGTAATTGTTACTCTTTCACCTCTATGTTGTGTGTTTGTCTGTTTTTAGTATTAGTCCTGTCTTTGGTATTCTCCTTATCCATGTTACATTGAAATTGTTGATATATTTTTAATATTCAACATTTTGAAAGTCTGACCTTGAAATCGTCACTATGCACTTATACAAATGCACGTGCACTTAGCAACCCCCACCCCCCCATTCTCATCCCCATCTCCATCCTCACCCCCGCGCTCACACCACTTTCGTGCGCGCACCCACACGCGCGAGCTCGACGTGTCCGGTCCTTCTCTCCTGCGCGTGTGTAGTCGCGTTGTCCCGCACGGCACGAGCACACGGCTGTCGGTCTTCGGCGCGGGACGGATCCTCTTCTGCACCTTCTTGCACCGCAACATGGCGACAGAGGTAAGAGATGCTGCTTCCTTCATTTGAACGAGGAGAACGACTCTAGGTCTCTGAGAAGAAGTGCAGGATGGGAGATGCAGTGATGTGGAGTGAACGTCTTGCTCGCTGTGCCTCAGGTTTCTGTGGGTGAATGTGGAGCCACATCAAGCGGCTGCACTTGTTAGAAATGTGCAGCAGCAGAGTCATGCAATCGTATTATTTTTTTTATTAATGAACCTCAATTTCATTTAGTTCCCTCACTGTGATTGTAGATGTTCCCACATGCAGCTCTGGAAAACACTGCAGTATCATTACAGAGTATTAGAGTAGTTCCTCTTCCTCCATGTACATGTATGTGTGAGAATAGAATGAACATGTTAATCCAATTGTTTAAACCACAGACATTTCTCCCAAATTCAACAGACACTGGAATGAAATGGCTGCCACACACGTAGAGACGCAGATTTAAGAAAAATCTGAATTGGTCTCTTCATTTTTCTTCCAGAATCACAGCTTGTAACAGCAGTGTTACTATAACTACATGTACACTGTAGTGTCTCGTGCATTAACTGGTAAGGAGGAGTGAATCCAGTTGACTGATGATGGTGGAGCAGTCAGCACCATGGACAGGGACACTGTCCTCTCTCCATACTTTCAAATCAGCTTCACAAGCCTTTACATCTTTAATGAGCCACATTCATTACTTTCTTTAACTACTGGTTATCATTTAATTTAATTTATTAATTTTTGAATCATTCATACACTTTTTAACATTCTTCTTTTAATTTATATTTCACTTATTTGAATTGGTATAACCATGTACTTATTTAGTTGCTGTTAGAATTTAAATGTATTGTATTCCCTGTATCTTTGTATTACTGTACCTCGGCCCCATTGAAAATGAGGGTTCCACCTCAATGTGTCTTCCAAGGTTTTAAATAAATTATGATACTGAAGCTGCTTTTGCAAACTCATCTCTCTGGAGTTATACTTCTTTCATTCCTGTCAGAAATGCTCTGTATTTATATGGAGCTTTCCTCATCTCGATGACCACTCAAAGCACTTTGCAGTACAGTTTTCCTTGTTACTTTGGGGTTCTGTCCTCAAGAGTGTGGTCTTTCAGTCTAATTCATTTCATGCTCTCACACTCAGATATACCCTGCTTGTGCTCAGATTTTCTGTGCTCCAGCTTCAGCTCTTCTCCTCGCACTCACGCTGCTCCACATTCATAATACGGTGCATTTATGTACTTTCCATAGCCGCCCATACTGATGTTTGGCAACCTCAACAGACGATGTAAGCTTGTTAGGTGAGGGTGGTGCAGCAGGCAGAGGCAGGATGTTACGTATTAATTCTGCTGCATAGATCAAACCAGTGTCGGCTGTTATCACCAAAAACTTTCTCATGTCTTGGTCAGGGGTTTTTCTACGTGTGTGTGGCACCATTTCTGAGTCTGTTGCATGTTAGATACATCAACACCTCCACTCACTCACAGTGAATCCTGCCAATGATGTCCTGCCATGCTCTCACATCGACTCTGCTGACTTTAAGGGGACCGGCCGGAGAAAGTCCACAGAAGGTCCTGAGGCTCTCACTCTGAATTTTGCGTTCTCCCATACAGCTGCTCCAGAGAATGCCTGATCTGTGGATTTCAGTGCATGTTTGAAAGCATCTGTAGAGAATCCGTGACAGAGGTGGTTTTGTTTCAGCTGAGCCACAAGTAGTTACTCCAAACAGCATCAGTAGCTTTCCCTGGTGTATTTTTAGCCTCAGTAATGTCTTCTATCTCTCAGGCTGACATCTTCCTCTCCCCACTTTGTGTCCTTGCTGATGTCACCATCACCTTGAAGACATAGCTGCCTTAGTTATCATAATAATGACCTCAGTGGAGGAGGAAGAGGAATTCATTTTATGAGTGGGTGGAGTTCATGCATAGTGATGCTGCAGGTAAAGGTTCAGTGGACATAGCTGAGCAGGAGTCATCATCTTTTTTTCTGAGCCAGCAATAAGTTGGCAGAGTGGCCGTGATTTCCTCTGGTGGTCTGCCAGCATCCGTGTCCAAGCTCTATTAGTTCCGCGCTGTCACATAACCACGCATGCACACAAACATAGCATGCACATGCACACACAAATACATATATGTGCACTCAAGATAGATTGCATGTCCAGGGCCCATCATTTATCCATGGCATATTTAATGTGAACAGGCTGCTGCAGTTTGTAACCAACAGTGATTGGAGTCTGAGATGAGAAGCATACTGTACCTCCCCCCTCTGCCTCCCTCTCTCTCTCTCTCTCACTCTCTTTGTGAGTATCTCCCTCCCTCCCTCATTTATATTAGAACTCATTCTCTGACATTTATCGTGTGCCAAGTCAGCAAACGCACCACGTTAAGTGACTGAGTAACAATCAGCTCATGGTGCAGACTGTTTGTGCTGCATGGACGCTCCCAGGATCCATTAAGTTCATCTCTGGCAGCTCCTCCTCCTCAGTCCGTCGACCGGTCCTCGCTCGAGTCTGTTGAGGAACTGAAGCTGCAGTAATCACCTCAGAGGCTGGCTCGCTCCCAGCTCACTGCTGATACAATGTGCCACCCGAAAGGTTCCTGGCCCCTCAGTCACAGATCTTATACCTATATGTCATGGAACTGTGTGAGCCCTCTAAAAGAAAATATGATAAATATGTTTTCATTCTACAGGCATCTTTCATGAGAGGTCATTGATGCATTCAGTGTATTCTTTTACTTTCTTTACTAATTGTCAAAGAGGAGTCTGGTTCTTTTATCCGCCCGGTTCTTTTATAATTGGTTATTCTGTGCAGTGGATTTCCAGAGGCTGTCTTTATGCACCAGTGAAATTTCCCCAGAAAGCTTCATCCTGATAAACCATTATAACGAAGGTTGTAGATTACATTCTGTTATGCCATGCTAATTGGTAACCAAATTACACTTGATTTATGTGCATCACAACAGTTAGAATTATAGGTTTATGTGCTTAATATCATGACTGGTTCCATATTTTATTGTAAGTATTTACAAGAGGATCTTAACTGGTGATATTTCTTTCTCATGTAACCCATTTAACTTATTTCATTCATATGTTAAGTTAACGCACAAGCTCAAACTTTGTTTTTGCCTAAATTTCCCTCTGGATCAATTCTGTCTGTCCAGATGTGTGGGTGGAGGTAGAAGTCAGACACGATGCAGAGAATCTTAATAGAGTTCTGAGTGATCAGTGTGACACTTGAATATTGCTGTCTGCTCGTCTGCTTTATTCAGACACAGGAATAGACTGCATTTGAACCTGGTCTCCCACGCAGGAAAATAAACATCAGCACTCTGCCAACAGCAAACATTTATCTTCCAGTCTTAAATGAAGACATGCAAGAGCAATGCCAACACCACGTGACCAAAGAAATGTTTGAGGAAGCCCTCTACTATCAAAGCAGTAAGAGGGATACAGGATTCCTGGTCAGTCAGGCTGAGGTTGAGAGAATGAGGTTGCTGTTGTCATCGGACAAGATATTGTCTGTCTGTCTGTCTGTGACTCTTGAGAACGGTTCATCTAATCGGCTTCACACTTTTCATGTGTATCGTTAAGGCCCAAATTGTGCATTGTCTTTATATAATCAGGCAACCAGCGCTCTGTAGCAGTGGCAGCTGGGACTCAACATATGTGACTTGGTCGGTCAGTTAAACAGGCGTGTTCATGACTATGGTCGAGGTTCTGCTGGCTTCACAGAACTTTGAATAAACAACTGAACAGCTCTTTGTGCAGCTGCTGGTCTTTACTTGCTCAATTACTGCAGGTCATCTTTTTAGAATGGAAAGCTGCACAGTTGTAATCAATTGATTGGGAAAAGTACCACAAGGCAGTTAAATGAAAAAATAGGTTTGCAGGTCTCGGGTAAAGAAGCAGATCCTTATTCTCATATTTTTCAGTTTATCTTGTAATCTGACACTTCTCAATGATGTTGTACAGTCTCAAACAGATCAAGATTTCATTAGAACAAACTCACAGATTGTAGAATGCAGACTTACAGTCTTTGCTGCAAGGTTTTAAGGCTCTTTATCAAACAGAGGTTAACAGAGTAAAACGTGTGGCCTCTCGTTTGGCCAATCAGTTCAATTTTAGAAATACTAAAACACAGTGTCACAATACGTCACCTTAAAGTCAGATGTAAAAGGTTTGACCTTTTAACCATGACATCCCCAATAGACCAAACGCTTTTAAAGTCTACACTCTAAGTTGATTAAAATCAGGGGAGCGGTGGGAGAGATATTAAATAAATGGGCTGCGTGATTCATGGGTGAACTTGCAGAGACATGACTCCCGTCTGCTTTGCTCAGCTGCAAGTTACACATAGCACGGACATATAAGGCAGAGACGAGAGGGTCAACAAGAGGCCGAAACACACCATGACGTCCCACTGCCCTGAATTAAACCGTCTCCTTTAAATTCATTCACCACACTGGCAATGTCAGATTATGTCATGTCGGATAATGTTTGTGTTTTTTATGTAGTCCTGCATTTAGCAGCAGAGCCACCAGCAGGTGGCCGGTATGGTTGGAGGACGTACAAAGCTATCAACCTATCACACCTGACACCACAGTTCACATCCAACATTCTGTCCGGGGGTTTGGTTACAGCAGCAAAAGCACTTTAGCTAAGGTTTGGGAAATAGACAGTGGAAATAGATTTGCCAAATAGCTTAACAACATGTCTGCAATATTTCAAAATGAATAAACCTAGTTGTACTTGCTGCTGCAGTTGAGAAATGTAATTTTTTGGAGACAGGGTTGCCTGAATACAGAGCATGTTACAGTGGAGGTGAAGCCCTGAGGTTTCACACAGGGTTTTATTACTCAGAGGTGTGTGAAGTGTATTTGACCTTTTCTCATTTACAATATTTCAGTTTTGTACTTTAGTATATTTGCTTCAATAATATATGTACAATTTTTGAATTTTCTTTATATTTTTCTTTATTTGCTTGCTTTCTTTGTTTTCCCTCATTCATCCTGCTCATTCCATAGTTCCCAGTTCTTCCTCCTTCCTTTTGCTAGTTACTTATTTTTACCATCTCCCCTTTACTTTTTTCTAATTTCTCTTGGTTTCATTTGTCTTTCATTTTGTCTGTCTCTCTTAATTTTCGTCCTTTTTCTGCTCTTTTTTTCCCTAAAGCTTTTAATTTGTTATCCTACCTTTCTTTATTATTATTATTCTTTATTTCATTTGGCAGCAAAACTAAAGTCTTACTTAGGAGACATCAACACACCTTTTACTTCTCATGTCTGTATAAATCCTGTGCACTCACATTCTCACAGCCACAAACAAAAGACCAGTTTAATCTTAATGAACCCTCCTGATTCTAACTTGAATACATGATGTACGATCGTGTTCTGATAATCACTTATTTTAATTGAGTAACTTGTTTTGTCCTGATGGCCTAGAGGTGTCACAGGGAGGGGGATGGTGGCTGAGACAGAGGAGGTAAAAAGGAGGATATTAAAAGCTCTGGCAGACAGAAAGATCTAGTGGCTCTAAGATCATTGTGGCTGTTAGCGGATGAAAATAGCAGCTTGGATGCTATTCTTAGTTGTGAGTGATGTACCCTATATAGACATGAAAGGCTGGCACTGTGCTGCGTCTGTGTGGGAAGGACTTAGGCTCATACATGCAGGTAAACATTTATTTTGATTCAAGCTTTAATTCAAGTTCCATAGATTTCTTATATTTGTCTTTTCTTTTTATTTATAGTTATTCATAATATCGTGAATGATTAAACTTGATTACAGTTCTTTCATAAAGTTGAATATATAATTGTCAATTATTTTCGATAATAATATATATTTACTGGCATATATATTGCTATGGGAAATCTTTTACTCCGCAATATCGGTATCCGCATCGCCCCCCCACATATCAACATAGACTGGGCTCTAATAATTAGTGAAAAACTCATCCCTCGAGCTCTGTTTCTCCTTGTATTTTCTCACCCCACTTTTTCTTCATCCCTCTCTCCCTCCCTCGATGTATCTCCTACTGTATCTCTAATTACCACCCTCTTGAGGGGAGTCATTTAGATCAGCAGGGGACAGGTTTACACTGGCCCACTTGCTCACTGTTGTTTGCTTCTCAGGGGAAATGTCTGTTTGGGCGTAAAACACACTCAGCAGCCCTGTGAAGTGAGAGTCTTTCACTGTTCATTATTACAGGAGCCTTAGTATTGATGTCCCGCCGATACATGTGCTCGACCAATCACAAGTCAGTCTCCACTGTCAATCATGATGTGTCACCCCATCTTTACATCATCAAAAAACGTTTTGGAACGTCGTCCATCTTCTAATTTAATGTGTTTTTTTCCCTTCAGTTCCATAATCTGCAGGAGCTGAGGCACAGTGCATCACTGGTAACAAAGGTGTTTGTACAGAGAGATTACAGCCAAGGAACCGTCTGCCGCTTCCAGACCAAGTTCCCCTCAGAGCTTGACAACAGGGTGAGTATGAATACAAACACTCACACACACACACACACACCCAACTTGCCTGAAACAGGCAAGTTGGCACACACAAAAAGAATGATGGCTCAATAAGGCTTAATCAGATCAGCACTACGGGGCATCCTGGATGAACACTTGGTGAATGATGGATATTATCTTGTGCCCTTTTTTCTAATAGCATTGTCATATCACCAAAATGATGACAGCAATAATAAACCTTGCCGGACTAAATATAGCAAGCCTGTTATGTGAATTATAATTTTAAATTGTAATTTAGATATCCTGATATTAAATTGAGGATCAGAAAATGCCCTCAGTAGAGTACAGACTTCAACCAATGGGTTTTTCTACTGTTAAGTGCAGGATAACAATCCTGGATTTGAGCTTCATCACATTTAATATTATCTATGTTATTATAAGTGATTTTCATGCCAAATGAAATTCTAGTTTCTATTTCATTTGCAATCCTGTGGATGTGTTGGTGTGATTGATATAGAATGAACCTTTGTAATATTACTATTGCTGAAAATGATATTGCGATAATATAGACATTGTTTTAATGCCCATCCTTATTAATTACTAAAACACGGTTATTCTTAAAGCACAGAAAGTAATAAATCATAGTATCTTATTGTTTTTAATGAGTGAAATCTTTATAATATCCATATACCTTGCAAAACGACTTTATTAACTGTGTGTAGCAGCTAATTCTACAATCTTAACATTTATATTTTATTAGATGGATATCTGAAAGCCAAACATTATGCATCATTCAAAAGTATGATGATATTGCCTTTACATCCTGTCCACGATTGGATACAGATTTTGTAGCATGGTCTCTAAAATCCTGAAGTAGACAAGACCAGAATAAAAGTGACACAACTTTGTTACAACTCCTCTGTGTTACAGGTGCTAGAGCGGTAAAGAAAAAGAAGCCATTATGTGTTCATTTTTACTCTCAATACTTTTAATCACTGGCAAAAAATGTGCTGTTGATTTGAGGTGCACATTTGCTCTTCTTACATTTCTGTATTGGCATATTGTGAATGTTTAGCAAGCAGACAGACAGAGAGAGACACAGCGGGGGTCAGTGTATAGGAATCATTAGAAAACTTCATCTGTCACTTCACTTTAAATGTTCTCTGTCAGATGCTCAAACCACAAGTCTGCTGTCACACGTCGGTCTAATGTGTCACCTCAGCCTCAAGCGTCCTAATGTTCTGAAAGCGAGGTGTGTTTCTAAGTTGTTTTAGACAAACTCTGGGTATTTTATTTTGAGCAGAGTGCAGCTGATTGTTTGGCAGGCTGTTTTATAGCTGAACAGCTTGTTCCGACACATTTCACTTTCACAGTCCTTATGGTGTGAGCGCGCCTTCATACTTGGATGTCTATTTGTGTTTGGAAGTAGATTGAGCGAACCTTGCTGGAGGAGACGGTGAAGACCCTGAACTCTTATTATGTCGAGGCGGAAAAAATTGGAGGTCAGTCGTACCTGGAAGGATGTCTGGCCTGCGCCACAGCTTACATCGTCTTCCTCTGCATGGAGACGCGCTATGAGAAGGTAATAAACCTGCAGACACCTTAATGCTGGTGCCCAAAATGGTCAGAAAGCTATTATGTGCAACAAGATCTGTGCAACGATGGCTGCACGTTGAGAAATGTAATGATGAACAGCTGTGCTTTTCCCACTAGAAAAAATCTGCTGTTAAGAAAAACTTTCCTTTTGGCTCTAGCTTCATGTTCAATGTGCATCTTGTCTCAGAGAAATTAGATGTATTTTAAAGATGCTGAATTATTCCTTTAATCCTCCACAAGTTTTTTAACAACTTTCTTAAATCTAAATTTTGCATGTTTTTGTATGATTCCTCTGCAGTGTTTTCTTTCTGCAGCTAAAAAATATTTCTGTTGAAAATGAGTTCCTTATTCCAGAAGCCACAGTCTCAGTTTTCCAGCTGCAGTTTGGCTTATCATGGATCCCAGAGCAAACCTGATACATTTCCTGTGGACTTGTGCTGTAAATCTAAGAAATAATAGATAACTAATCATCCATTTTAAACCTCTGTGACCGGTGTCTCTCCGTCCGTCCTATTCTTGAACTAATCTGAATTTAGTCAAGATTATTGTGACCTCACAAAAACAAGTTATGGTTTGACAACAAACATCTCAGGAACAACTTGTGGACATTTCTTAACATTTGGTGTAAAATGTTCACTTAGACTTAGAGATTAACTGATTTGAATTTGGTCAAAGGTCAAAGGTCACACCCACAGGCATATTCAGCATTCTCCACCGGAATAAAGAATCCCACACATGTTATTCCATTTCCTGCCCCCTTCCAGAAAACAAACTAGATTATCCTGGATACACAGGCTGCCAACTTGAACATTCGGAGCCAGAGTCTGCGCTGTATTTAACAACTTTGACTTTCTGATCCATGTCCAATCCACAAACATGGAGGATGCAGGATTTATGACCTATACTGCAGCCAGCCACCAAACACTTTGGCTTCACTTTTGGGAAGCTCTCATGTCGGCCATCTTTATTTACAGTCTATGGTTTGAATCCAGACCTGGAGCCTCTGTGTGCAGTAGAATTCTTTCTGCTGGAATAATTGTCTCGCTCGGACTTTATTCATGAACAGCTGCTTATTATAAACTCCAGTGCACATCTAAAAGACTTATTTACTGCCATATTTGTCCATTTGTATGAAAGCTTCCTTTCACACGCAAACAAAAGTATTTAATTGTGTCTTCCAATGCACTCTGGGTCTCTTAGGTCAGAACATATTATGCACACCCGCTCAAACAGGGCAGCGGAGCCAAAATAACAGGAGATATGATCTGATTCTCCCTTGCACAACGTTCCCCTCACCCGTCTGTCCACTTCATCTCAGAACTCGCTCTGAAGCCCACACCTGTGTGCCTGTGGGTTCGGCATGGCACGCCAACTGTAACATGGCATCTACCTTTTGGCACAACCACAATGTCCGTCTTGAGGAAACCTCTATGCGGCTGTGTTGCTGCTTGTCACTCGCTGAGGCAAAAATGCTTGGATACATAACCCAGTCACACACACACACACACACACACACACACACACACACAGTGAGTTTGATTAATCCTCTTGTGTGTACCTGTCCGTGTTTTAGATGAAACTAGAGTGGCGTGAAGTCCCAGCATGCCTCTCAACTCTGATCTTTGTCACCCACAACATTCATCTCCTTGGTCTTGTTGCGTTTTATAAACATTTTTATCAAAGCTGCACAGAGGTACTGGGAGCTTGACCAAGAAGTACAAAAGGACTTATTGCTGTGCTGAAGTCATGCAGAAATGTCAAGGTCCGAGGCTGCTTTCATCTCGCTGTCAGCTGTGTGCCGCCCCATTGATACACTAAGATGATATCAGCTCTTACGGGAGAGTTGTTTATTTACTTGTTTAACTTTATCATCTTGGCTAAATGACGCTTTGACTGACGATGATCAAATATACCCACCCAGGTTGATGCTGTGTGTGTGTGCTGATAAAGCGACCACACACCAGTGAGTGTGGATCATTGTGCAGACTCATTGGAGCACCACGAGCCCTTGATGCTCACATCTCACCCTATCAAAGGACACTGATTGCTCCCAACATGTCAGAACAGATACACGTGTGCACAAGTGTTCATAAAGCTTCGCTCGCTCACAGTTTGTATCCTCCATCTCCCTCTTTTCTTCCTCTATTATTCACAAGAATGTGGCTACTTGGACACACACGTACCTTTATGTTGCAGTAGGTGCCATGAGCAACTTTCAGTCTCGCAGAGGTGTACACGCTCATGTCATGCATGTGTAACAGACTGTGACACCTTTGTTTCTCAGGCGATACATGGGGACACTCACAAAGCTTCTCCCAGGGGGGCAGTCACACACACACACACACAAACACACACACATGTGGGTACAACAGAGGCCCAGAGCTTAGATACTTGACTGTCATATTGTTATGCTGAAGAGGATTGAGTCGCCCTGAGAGCTACCCAGCAGTGAAAAGATTGTCCCTTTCCCTGCACCACAATAAACCTATTAGTCAGGGCTCCGCTTTATGTGTCTCTGCTGCTGCTCTGCGATGTGAGTCTTCAGCAAAATACACAGTTTATATTGTGTTAACAATCTCTGGATACATTGTGATTGTTCCAAGCCAAATATTGATTGCTTTCTGCAGAGGTGGTCTTGACACAGGCTCCATGAGTGCACAAACACAATACAGCAAATTCCTTGTATGTGTAAACCTGCTTGGCAATTCTGATTCTGATTCCGATCACCAAGTAGACAACTCTAAGTAGGTCAGTTCACATCTGAACCGGGTCTCTGCATTTCGAGGGATCCCTTGTTCCATCTGATGCTCAGCTCTATATACGAATAAACATTTACATTATATCTGTTTGCAAATACCAAATATATTATTCAAACATATATATATTGTTCATATACTGTCCAAGCAATAAGCTGAGAAAGGGTAAAAATATGGAACTGTAATGGGTCAGAAGTCGTCAGTTGAGTAGGTTGAGTCCTTTAATGTGGCCCAGGATGCATTTGTGTTCACTCCTTCAAATGTGGTGCGAGTGATCAGATCTCAAACCTGTCCTCAATGTGTCTTATTCATGTCTGTACTTTGAGCTGAGACGAATGTTAATGCCAGGTCTGGATGGAGCTGTAGATGTGACTGATTGAAAGTGACTGAAAGCAGCACAGTGAAGCAAACCGCTGCCTTCTCAAGGCGTCTTCCATGTTCTCACACTGAAGAATTTAAGTCTGGTTTTCTCCCCAATTCTCTTCTTCTCCTTCTTCCATTGGGAGATGTAGAAAGAACCGTTCTTCTGTGTTTTAGCCTCCACTGGCACTAACGCTCACTTATATTTGCAGCTGTGCCTGCAGCTGTAACAGGCCTTTGACATCCCAGAGGAGCTGTGCTCAGTGCATTGCCCAGTCTCCATTGTTTCAATCTCTCAAGGCTGAGAGTGCTGCTGTGACCTTAAGTTAACTTAGAAAGAGGATGTGAATCTGTCATGTTCAATAAATCAGCAGAGGAATACTCATAAAAGAGTTACAGCTCAATACAGCACAGTGGATGACTGTAGCTCCTTACTACTCTGATCCTATTTTTATAGTTTTAACACTGAATTTACTGAAACAAGTTTATTAATAAAACGGCAACAGAAAGTCTGACTTAGAACAAAACACAGGGTCCATCAGTCCTAGATAACCTTTACATTACAATATACAGTATGTGACGCTGTGTTATTTCCTTGAAGTGATTCAAATGTATATTTACACATCATAATGTGCAGTCGATATGTCCATTAGTCTAAAGTACTGAATTTTCTCATTTCCAAATTTCACACACGCATATATATATATATCAGTTCTCTTAATATGGCAGATTCGTTTTCATCAAGATCCATTAATTATTCCTCGGGAAATCAGTGCAAATGTTAATGAATATGAAAAAACAGTATTCCTGGATCCGCCCCCTGATCTGCATCTGCACCAGAATTTAATGGATTTGTTCCCTGACCCATAGACGTCCAGTAGTTTTTGTGTTTCTTTCCTGTGATTGACTTGGCAAAATTGAGAGTAGGCTCACACCTCCACCACACAGCATTTTGTTTACAGTACATACACATGAAGGGATTCATTTGTTATCACTGAACTACAGGATTATTCAGCTGCACACTAAATAAACACATATAAAGGCAAACTGGCGTGACTACAACAAACCCTATGGGCAGCAGTCAGGTTGCAGGGTGAGGAGATTATTGACTTATTTTTAGCATGTGAATTACTGTATCTACATGATTATTCTCACCAGAAATTAAGTAAAATATTCTGACATGCATTTGATGAGTAGGTTTTGTGCGGGCTGCTCTTTATCACAGAGGAAAACAAGATGACCTCAGATAACTGTGAAAGCACTAAATGATCTGCTCTGTGCCGTGGGATATGTCATCTCCTGACGACCCTTGTTATGAGTGATGACAGCTTTCCCAGTGTACATGAGGCCCAGTGAGCCATGGTGGAGCTGACTGACATGGTTAGGCAGAGTTTAAGGGGAGACATGGCACATCAGCATTGTTGGTGCCCACAGAGGCGTAGCTCAGGCTGAATAAGCTGCTCTAATGATGCCACTTTTGCTAATAGCTGCCCATTGAGCATGACTAGCCATCAGTCAGCAGTCATTTGGTTGCTATCAGTAGCAGCCTGGGACTCACAGTGCTTAGGTTTTCTTAAACTCTTCTAGTCTCCAGGGTAAACTCTGTGTGTAGTCGTTCTGTGTAGGAGGATTTATACAAGCGTGCTTCTTTGAATGTGTTCGCCAAGACTCGGCTGGTCTGAACTTGGTGATCAGCTTCACTCCACTGCAGCTATGTGATTTTTGCATAGTTGATGCAATACTGCAAAGCTGAGAAATAGGTCCGATGCCAGTGCAATCTAAATAAACTGTCCACCTCACGTTTTCGAGCGTTTCCAAATTGCCCCGACAGTTAACCAAGGCATGACATTTAGCCGGAGAGAGCCATCTTTGGATTTAGGAACTAAAGCTTCCAAATGGAAAACTTCAAAAAGAGGAAAATCTCGTGCTCGTCAATTTTAGTAATTCAATTCATACAGCCTTGCTTGACATGAGTGGCTTGGAACTATGCGCAAAAATAACTGGTGTACTGAGAGCATAATGGAATTACTTTGAGTTTAGATTATAGTGTTCAGGAAAAATAAAGACGGGCAATGACTTGAGAGAGTTAGTATCACATGCCGTATGCTAACTATGCTCAGACGGGCGGCAAACTAATTTCTTCCATTTTTCATTTTTTCCACCCAAGACACCACAGGAGGAGGCTGACATTGCTGCAGCCTCTGTTCATGTTTATCCTCGTTTAGATACATGGTTATTACATGTACCACTGAGTGCACGTTGAGTAACAATAAGCAAGTAATGGATTCTCAGTCGGCTCATGTTTTAGATTTTCATCGTGCGTCCAATGGTACTAATCAAATCTGGATTATGTCCAAATCTGCCTCTGTGACCCCTCTCTGTTTCCTGTTTTATTCCAGGTGCTGAGGAAGATATCAGGCTACATCCAGGAGCAGAATGAGAAGATCTACGCTCCTCGAGGTCTGCTGCTCACCGACCCCGTAGAGAGAGGAATGAGGGTTGTATCCTTCACTTGACTGCTGCTGCTCGCTCTTTGTTAAGAATTGGAGGATAAAGGCCCAGACATAAATACGACTGATAGGAGGTGGCAGTGGTTTAGTGGTCGGAGAAATTTGACTATATGAGTGGAAGTCACCAGTTAGAAGACTGGAGCTGCCAGAAACATCTGGATCGGATAAATGAATAAAAAATACCCACTGCTCCTCATAAATTACCATCAAGGTGCCCTTGAACAAGGCACTTAAAGTCCAGCTGCTGCAGAGGAGCTGCCCAGTGGCCAAGTGTCCTTCTCACGACTCAATTCTGGAAAAAGTGTGCGTGCTCCATTAAAAGTTCTGATAAGAAAAGGTGAAAGAGACAGGATGAAGTGGATCAGCAGCCTGAAGGCTCATTTATGCTCAAAATTAGATACGGAAACAGGCTTCATATGTAAATGAAGCATAAATAAGCCTTATAAGATGCAGTTGGGATGTTTGTTTAAGTGCTTGATCATTCAGAATGAGGTTTTATATTACAATCGTATCGTTCACATGGAATTGTTCAAGTGGCTCTCACCGTATTCAGAATGTTCTTATAGAACTTAGAGGAATCTTTGTTTTCCGAAGTGGCCAGAAACATGTCTGTCTGTCATTCAAGTGATCCCAGCACAGTTCTTCATTTAGAGAAAAGGCAAAGGGAGAGAGAGAGAGAATGTGGTCATTGGACCATCACACAGGTCTGGCTCAGACTGACTCAGAAAACAGGCTCCAAGTCACAGGGCCAACCTTTTACCAACACTTATTAGTCAATATGCTCCTTTACAGTATGGTCTCTGTGTCTGAGTCCTGTTTCTCCCAAAGAGCCGTGAAACATTAAACATAATATTATTTTTAATACTAAGAACTGATTTCATTAGATTAATTATTTCTTTAAAACTGGTCTTGTTGTTGTCATGGGCTAGTACTTCATCATGGGTCCAGTTCAAGCCCGCTGCAGACAAAATGACTGTGTCAAAAACCTCAGCACTTTCAGTCTGAGCAGCATCGAGACGAATATTGAGCTTGTCATCAGCTATTCCAGCATGTCTGATGTTAGCCTTAAACAAGATGCAACTATATTTGGAGACGAGATGAGAGAAACAACAAACAGACACACACATTCACAAACACACACTGCCTCCTTCATGTAGTGTATCCAGCAGAAACATGTAGATTTTGACATTTCTGTATTTTCCACCAGCTTCACACATTAAGGCTGAGAATAGATGTGACAGGATTAGACTGTTGAATTGTAACCCATTAGGATCCTCCGGCACTTACACAATCCCATATTTAAATGCTCTCTGTGCCATGATGAACCTTGACAGCCACTGTGTCCTCAGCTGGAGATCAGTGTCTTTGAAGACCGGGGCTCGGGCAGCTCCAGTCCCAGCAGCAGCATGTCATCAGCCGCCAGCAGCGCCCGGTGACTGGAGGGGCAGCGCCAGGCTTACGGGTACCACCACAGGGGCAGCGGGACACTCACCAACATCCGCATGCTGAAACATGAGAGCACCAGGTTCTAAGACGAGTGGAGAGAACAAAGGCAAGGAGGTGATCCACAGCATTCACACTCTCCCTGCTGGAGTCTTTATGACGTACCACCACGAGATCAGGAGCTGGCCCACACAAACACACTGGATATGCAACAGAATCAACACAAGTACAACAGAACCCACACATAGGCAGCAGACACATGTACAAGCCAACATCCGGAGTGTCTGCGAGGGAATAGATTTCACTTTCCAACAGCTATCCAACCCAAAATAATCATTTTTTTTTTTTGTTCCAATTTTTCCATTCACCTTTTTTCTCATTCCTTCACGTCTGTTTCCATGAGTCACACCATCTCCGTGGTAAAGCTTATTCAGCAGGCTTAAGCTTGATTAGACTGGACATCAATGCTTGATTGTGTTCAGGGGGGTCACTGTCATTGCGACTATCTGCTGATGCACTGGTTGTGTAGTGTCAGGTCTGTGCAGCAGCTCTCAACTCTGAAAGGAGGGAAAACTACCGGCCCCCGGGGAGGACCAATGTTCTCGCCTCTCACTGAATGATTGCATTCATGTTAAGGTGGTTTGGGTCAAGCTGCTTTGAATGCTGGCAAATTGGTCCTTCTGTGGGACGACGCGGGTCGATGCTCCGTTCACATGCATTTGGCTTCAGTATCAAGCAGCTAACAGAGAGCACCTTGGATTATTTATCCTCCTCATCCACAGCAGTGGATACGGGTGATCCACATCACAGCTGCAGGTCACACACTCGCTCGCACGCACACATGCATACACTCCCATGCATACAGATGCACACAACCCTCAAGTGTTCATACAGACACATGCTAGGGACATGCACGCACATACACACATATGCACTCCAGTGGCAAGTGGCCATGCATTACCACACACACACACACACACACACACACCGATTCTGGCAGAGATAGTCAACCCATACACAGACAGAGCTCTCTTTGCTCTCAGTTCATTAAAAACAAGAGCAAATCTAGACCCTGATGAAAAACTAGTTTCCCTGGTTGTGCGCATGTAATTTACATGTATGTGATATGCATGTGTCTGTGTCATGAGTCACAGCTTTACCTCGTATGAGATGAAAACTCGATAATTAAGGAGCCAGGGGAGTCGGAGAGCAAGGATCAGTGCAGTAAGTGACAAACCCACATTCTGAGAACACTGAAACTGTGTGGGTTGTTGTCTCTGCAGCTCTCTGGTTAATGACAGGTGTATATTTATAGGGTTGTGTAGGAAAATCAGCCCACACACAGTTTGATACCTGAACCATTATTATTCTGTATGGCTTTTATGCAAGTACTTTTTTTTCAATTGTGCAAAATGATGATTATGCGCACACTTAATTAGAGATTACATTTTTACATTTAAAGTGTGCCTGTTTCTTGGTGCTATTTGTCTTTTGACACTTTATCAGAAATACAGGGATCTGCTTGTGTCATTCAGCGAAACACAGTTGTAGCTCCCTCTAGGGTCAAAAAGAGGAAGTTCACAACCTCTGACAGAAATCAGGACTGAGGGTTGTATGATTCAAATAATTTCTGTTTCCTTAATACAACTAATATCAAAACAAAACTACTTATTCCTTCTGCCGCAAAAACATTATCTTCACTCCACACACATGAGGTGCTGCAGCCTGAAGAGTAAAAACTTTCCTGGTTGGAAATAGTGCATCCTGTCTGTGTGCGGAGGCTGATGAGACAAAAGATTATCATTATGTAGGAAAATATGCGACAGCACACCCACACAGTGTCCATCGAAAGAGAAGACTTCATGAAAAGAACTTTCACTGTTTCCCGGTAACCCTGTTCTCTGCAGATCTTATTTACATTGCCATAGTTTCATCTTTCATTGATGTTTTTCAGTTTTCTTTCACCTTACGTCATATCATGCATCTTAATGAACTCTGGTACTGTGAAACTTTCTTTAGCCACATTTATAAAGACGAGCAAAACCCTCCGCAGAGCCTCATCTTTACAATCGGGACCCTACTTTCACCAGAGGAGTGACAAGTTGAAGTTAAACTATTCACTGGGACGTCTTTGAGGAATTGAATGTTTTTGATTTCAAATCCAGTGTGATAGTTTAAATTCAACCCTCTCTGCCACTTGGTTGAATGAGATGAACTGACACAGACATTTTCCCACAGCAGCTGAGTTCTAGTTGTGCTTGTGTTCAGCCTCCTGTGCTTCGTGATGCCTTCATGTTTCATCCCAGTGGAATGGATACCCAACCTGGGGCTGATGGACTGATTCTTTTGATATGGACTCTGCCAATAAGCGAATAAAGGAGCTCATTGGACAATGTACAAAGAAAAAACAAAGAGTGTATATGAACTGTACAGTAGAGGAGCTGTACCGTACAAGCTTGTCAATATTTATCCAGTGTAAAGAAGTGGATGGAAATGCCATGAAGCTGTTTAATTCAAAAACATAATCGTTGGCTCCTGTTAGTTCCTGTTTTTGTTTGGAAATGAAATCACAGAGCAGCTATGAAAGCCAGGAGCTGCTGTGTGGTTTCCTCTGCACATGAAGATGATGTTTTATATTATTTAGTGTTGCACAGAATTCACAGTTACCAGATAGTGGATCATAGATTTTTCCTCTAGTGCCACCATGAGGTTGACATTTGTGGTTTTGAATGAAATATTGAACCATTGGATACAGTTCCACAGAATTTGGTTAATTGTTGCTAACAGGATGAATTTTACATGAGCTTCTTGTTTATTTTGTCCAACACAATGTGTTTTGACCAAATACCTGCAAAATGAAATCCTTTTTCCTCCTTTCTTCTTCTTAGTCTATTATGTATTGAGACACCCCCACGTGATATTTAGCCTATTTACTTTCAAAGAATAGGAAAAACTACCCGATAAATGTCCATTACAACCAATAACTCTTTCAGTGACCCTTGATGAACAGATTAAAAACATATCTGAACCTGTCCTTAAAGACTTAGGTGTAAATGAAGCACTTTGTCCCATATTACAAGGCGTTATGTAGCTTGTTCTTTCAGGAATGACTTCTTTGATTAATGAAGACAATCGACAGGGGTGAAGATTATGAGATGGTAGCAAATGTATTCTCGTAAAATGATGTGTTTTTTATGACAAAGGTACATTATCACTGCGCAGATTAAACTTTGGGTCCTTGATCCTCCATCATACTGACTGTCAGGATAGGAGCAATAAAACCTGCGGTCCAACTGATGATGTATTGTCCATTTCAGTATATAAATCCTCACATGCCATATGTATGTATCCTGTACTGTACTTTAGAGTGAACCAAGTCTGTGGAGTCACCAGTGTGCCCGGACACTGTTTGTATGTTATGCTGTTACAAGTGATGGTAAAATATGAGATGTCTTCCTAAAAGTATAAAAGACGGTGTGTAGAGTCTTAGTGCCATTTGAGTTCTGCGCTCTTTTGCCTCGTGGAGATGAGAACTGCATTGATGTTTAATGCTGCATGATGTGTGAGTAAACTAAGTGAGATGATAAAAAGTCATGCTGCTGCGAGAGAGGAATATTATATCTTGATGCTATCTATATGTTTACATCAGGTTATTTGCATATTTAAATGGATTTAATGTCTTTTTTAATCTTAAAGCTGATTATTATTATTAACAGTAAAGTATTGAGAGAAGAGTTTAAGAGAGGAGAATAAAGTATATGATGATTATTACGACTGCAGGCTGCTGTTCTGAGTTCAGTTCATGCTGCTGTTGAGAAACTCAATATCTGCTGAGATTTCTCTCTGTCTGTCTTACACACATTTCTCAGGATATCCACAGAACGAAAACGAGGCAGAGTCATGTAACCAGAGGGCAGGATCTCCAGGAAGGGAGAATCTATAGGGCCTCAGGTACCTCAGGGTTCGGTTGTGTCGATCTGTTCTGTAAATGTCACTTGCTAAATATTACAACAGGTCTGTGCTGTAATGCGAAGGGAAAAAGTATAAATCAGCACCTCTGCAAAGGAGGTTATGTTTTCATCTGCGTTTGTTTGATTGTCATGACACTTGTTGGATGGATGTGGTGCAGGTCAGGGAAGAACTCATTACATTTTGGTGCAGATTTGGATCAAGGAGCAGAGTTGTTCAACGTTTGCGTAGATTAAAAATAAATGGGTGTGCTAAGTTGACTGATATTTATGTGGTGCAGATCCAAACAAAATCCCAATCTACTGAATTTAAATGTGGTTTCATAAAGGGAATGTTAGGCCTTGGCTGAGTTATGAACTCTACTGAGTGCCATTTTAGTTCCAATGTTAAATCGTCTTGTTGTTCAGTCCTAAAATCTTACATTCAAAATGAAGATCTCTGCTTCTGCTGGCCACACAGAATATACATGCTGATTGACATATTTACATTGAGCAGCAGGAAACCACAGAGTTGGGTGATAACTGACTCACAAACACAAATATGTTGAATATAGCAACTTAAATTTCACCCGAACATTTTCTTGGTTTTATTCACTTATTCTGATACTTTCTTACTACAAAAGAATCAGTACCTGTGTTGTGTTGTGTTGTGTTGTGTGGTGTGGTGTGTGTGCACAGTAGCTCGAGTATTGTGCCCTAAAGGAGAGGTATAAAGTTCAACACTGGAATTTGAAAGGCCAGGACTCTGTGTTCAGCTGACAGGTACTGTTTCTTTCCAGCAGGTAACTTGGTACACATGTTCCAGATTAGATGCTGCACACATTTGCCTGCAGCATCACCAAAGTTTGAGATCAGTGACTTGTTTTCATTTGTCTAGCAGGCACCACCAAAAGTGGAACCAGACTGTATGGATCCATTTCTCTAAACAGTATTACTTCCACCAACCAAACAATTTTGCAGGGGTGTGTGACTATTGTAAATGTATAAATAATCAACTTCTCTCCACCATAACAACTGTTTTGTTAGTTCAGGGACAATAGACGTCTGCAGATGTTTTAATGAACCTAAAGGAAAAGATCAACCATGCATACTGAGTCTTTTTCCATGTGACTGATGGTTTTATTTAGATTTTGTGGAAAAAGGCCAAAATCATACTTATACACTAGTCACCTTAAGAGTTTGGTAATAAATTGCCAAAAAAAAAAGTTTTATTCTATTGCTATCAACATTTTTGAGGCACAATATTTACTGCATTTGAAAACCAAAACCAGCCATTTAAACTTTAAACAGCAGAACTGTATTATACATATACTTTACGTTACTTCTAGATATTTCCCTCATGAGTTTTTGAAATGTCCCGTTGCGTGATGCTATGTCAGATGGTTACACTGTCCCCTAGTGGCCAATCACACATTGAACGTAGGTATCATGGTAGTACACTTTTGAGTTATTTTTTAATTGAAATTTTTTTGCATCAGCGACAGCCTTAGGGCTTTTTCTATCTCTCGCTGGTGTGTGTTTGTGTGTGTGTGCATGTGCATGAGAGGTGTACAGTAGATCCATCATAGCCTGCTCATAAGGCCAAATAATGAGTGATGATATTCTGGAAGATATGGAGGCTTAGTTAAGATGACAGGAGGAGCGGTGAGAGTGAACTGATATTTTCTTAAAGACGTCGAAGGAGTGACGAAACATCTCAACACCTGTCGGGAAAGGTCGCTCGCACCCAGCAAGAGACTCTCTCCCTCTACACGGCCTCCTTTCTTACTCAAAGTCTTTTTCCTCATCCTCTGCTAAAGGTTCTTGCTGCAATCGTTGCAGATGTTCTCTGGCTGCACGACACTTTCTTTTCTACTCTCTCCGCTCCCTTCCTGATCTTTCATTCTTTTTTCTCAGGAAAAAAAAACTGCCAGCTTAACCTTTTCCACTATTTCTTTTCTGTCTGAGTCACAGACGTGCACAAGGGGGGGAAGTCACTTTCTGGTATTGATTGCCTTAAAATGTTTATTCCGAAAACTGACAGAAAGTCATGATCCTGCCGCGGCCTCTGTGTTCCGACAATGTTTTTACTGGCGGTGGTGCTTGGCAAACGCAGTGCAGTCGTTACGGTGAAGTTTACAATGCCGTGCTTGCATGTTATGCATCAAATGAGGAGCTCCTTCACTAGAAGCTCCAGCATCAGAGTCAGACCTGTGCTGAAGTTTTACTGCTACATTCTGCCACCAGGATCACACACGTTTCAGTTCCCTCGACAAAAACTAACAAAACAACAGGAATTCAGCCAAACACAAAATAACGTGGTGACTCTGATAGTCCAACACTGTCTCCTGAGGCATCAAAACTCTGGCTGTGCGCACTCAGGCACTTAAAACATTTATCTACATCTGCCCAAATTTAAGATCACAGTGAGTTATGATTGTGCATTAAACCGTGTGCTGTGTGATGCAGCAAACAGAGATCCAGTGCCTCTGCTGACGTTCTGTACACAAACCCTTCCCACACAGACGCTCTCTGGCTTATTAGTTGAACATGTGCCCGGACGTTCTATCATAATTTACATATTTGTTTGCTCTGTAGTGAAATCCACAGTGCAGAGATGCTCTTTGAAGAGAAAAGGAGGTAAAACATGGCAGAAACGTCAGGATTTGTCTCTTGCTGTGTTTTGGCCACACTTGATTTATTCTGCTTAGCCTGGTTTTGAAGACCGTCCCTAAAATCGTTCCCCCCCCCCACCCCCCACCCAATATACCTCTACCATGCCTGTTGGCTTTGGCAGGAATACCCACTCAGTTTGTTTAACCTCAGCGTGATTGACAGTCCTTGTGATGTGTTGTTGCCGCTGGACGTCCACCAAGCGCAGCCCCAGAATGCTGCATAAAAACACAATGTTGGAGGCTGGGAACGTGTGGTTCCAGTTAAAATGCCACTTTTGATCACCTTGGTTAATTGTGAAACTGGGTATTGTGTTTCACTCTGCTTCGATCTGCTGGCAAATAAACTGCTCTGTCTGTCACTGACCTGCCTAACGGCTTTTTTAATGAAGCAGGAATGAGATCCTGCAGAGCACAGGGGTGAAACAGGGATACAGTATAACAGAGGAAGAAGACAATGTGTCTAAGCTCTTCTTTGACAATGTCTCAAACTTACCCACTAACCCTAACACTCCAGCATCATGGCTTTGTGAAAAGATGGATTTAGAGAATCATTTGTTTTTGCATTAGTTTAGCTTTTATTCTTAATTTCTGTTCAATGAGGGAGTCCTACCAACATTTTTGGCTAATTCCGGTAATCTGCTGAACTGATGGTGTATCAACGAGTGTTTCTCATCCTGTCAGACTTATTAATTACTTTGGTTTGTAACTTAGAGTGTATGACTGTATGACAGAGGGGTGATTATTTTAGAAACAAAGGTAAAATGTCCCAGATACAAAAGCTTCCATCTTGCACAGAATTTAAAGCCAGAGTCTGCACAGTAGTTCGACAATAGTGATCAACCAATCATGAGTCAGTATCAACTGTCAATCATAACATTTCACCTCAACGTCAAATAAAATCAAATTTGGCAAAAAAACAATTGCAAATATACATCAGTGTGTTATCAACTACCTTAAAATGACTAAAAGCATCTACTAACATGGAGGAGTAGGGATTTATGACCTATACTGTAGCCAGCACTCAGGGGGTAATCATAATAATTTGGCTTCACTGTCGGTTTGTACAAAGTTAAAGAAAAACAAGCCAACACTACAAATATTTGAAAATGAAAAACTCACTTTTTCTTCTGCATATTGCAAACTGAGAATTGCTGCAGCCTCTTGTGGCTACTTTAGGTAAAGAAAATGAATAGATCACATTAGGTTTAATAACATTATATCACTTATTTAATTACCTTTGACGTGTTGGAAATATGCCTGGAATACAGCAGCAATTACAATAATCTATAACCTATTTAACAGCCAGCTGTTATGTGCGATGCCATTCATGCTCAAACGGCTGCTGAAGTGGCTTAATCTCTCACGTCATTGAGTTGTTTTAGTGCTCAGGCACGGTGAAATGAATCAAACTAATTGAAATCAAATGACTTAAGATGTGCTTAGGCAATTAGAACAGGGATGATGAAGCATTTGTTTTTATCTCAGGCTTCAACAAACCCAGTGCATCTTTACTGGATTTAGGCCGGCGTTGATCCACAGACGCAGGAGACAGACGTTTGCACACAGCTCGAAAAAAGGCCCACTCCGTTGGACGCTGACTAGAGAAAATAAACGTGCACGCTCACTGCATGAAGTTTAAAAGAAATGACCACTGCCGTGTATACAGCCACATTCATGCAGCTTTTTCTTTTCTACTCCTTGCGCTCTGTTTTTTTTTCTGGCCAGTACAAATATCCTTTCATGTCTGATCTTCTGTCATGTTCTGTGGGACATTTTGTGATCGGTGGTCTGAAGCACAAAAAATAAATGCATTTGGATTATTTTTCCACATGAAGCACAGGCCCACACACAAACAGGCTGCACGTGGCCACATAGACACATGCACTGGTCCGACTTCCCCTGAAACGCACACGTTGTGTGTTATGTTGCACAGGGTTACTCCACTCGCTGTTCATTTCAGCAGAAAGAACCACAGCTGGAGCCTCCAGGACAAACAATGCTATGACCCTGTAACACACACACACACACACACTAACACAAACACAAAGAAAGTGTCCTTCCTGCATGTTCTTGAATATCACTCAGTGGATCTGTTCGACAACATTAAATAGTTCAAGAATTTCTTGTTTTTCGTCGGCTCCATTCTGTTTTTGTAGTTAAAATATACTGTATATAAAGATGGATGACGCATCTCAACTTCCTCCCACTGTCCCCCCCCAAAAAAATAGTCCAGAAACAAATGC